GCGTCTGGAGAACACTCGAGGCTTCACGAACGGACATGATCTTTCTAGAATCTCATGACGTGTTACCACCGTCCCGTGACTTCCGCTGTCGTAACAATACCATAGTTAAAGATTTTGGTATCCAAAGAAAAAAAGATAACTGCGAATTATTTTATTCTTCAACAGTAAATTAAGTCGTAGTATGTTGTTTATCCAGATTATCAAGGAACGTTTTTATTTGAACTTGTTCACTAAAAACCACAAATGTATCATCCACATATCTTGCATATAAAACTGGTTTGAATTCTTCTGGACAATTTTGTAGCCTTATTTTCTCTTTTGAACATTAAAAAAGATTGGCCAAATATGGAGCCAACTTTGACCCCATTGAAACTCCGACTATTTGATCTTCCAGTTCATTATTAGAAACAAAATAGGATTGTTTTGTAGCGAATTCCAATAATTGATAAAAACTGCTTCTACATTTTCAGTATTTTAAAAAACTAAATCATACGTTAAATGTGATAATTAATTTAAATGTAAATTAGTGAACAAAGAAATAATAAACAAGTTTATAAAATTTTAGGTTTTTGCAAATGAATAAAATTCAAAACTACCTTTAACAGCATATTCATTAGAATTTTTTTAAAAAAGTACTAAAAATCCAGCTAGCTTACGATTAAAAGTACAAATATTGAAAACTATTTGTGTGATTGGAACAGCCGGGTTACTTTACGACCCTTTGGTAAACCATCTAATACACATTTTAAAAATACCAAAGTGTGAGCTTACAGGTTTTATGTTATTATAAATATCATCATTAGTGAAACCTTCTTTTTTTATCTTTAACAATAATATTTGTACATTCGTTTCTCTTTTTCTTTTCCGTATCTTCTTCTAATTTCCAAAGTTTACTCGAGTGTTTTAATATATCCAAAGCCTTAGTGATATAATCCTGCTCATTTAGGATTTCAATACCATTACCTTTATCTGATTTTACAATGATGTTATCTTTGTTGTTTTTTAAAGCCTATAAGCCGCTGCTTTTTTTCTATATATATGTATATATTTTGTTTTCATATGATTATAATCATGAAAACATTCTAAAGAAAATTCTGAAATCAAAGTACGAACCTCTTGAAAGCTCACATCTCCTGGCCAAATAAGGTCTCTGCATTTTAATTTGGTTACATTTTTAATATTTCACCTTACCTTACATTACCTTACCTTACCTAATCTCCTTACCTACATAAAATTGTGACACTTGCTGCCAGCTACCAAGTGTTAAGTCCAAGTACTTTACTTTTCCATTGACTTTTGGGTGAAGTAAGCCCAAAGGATTAAAGATGGAGCCACAGTCTGGTATTATCTGATCTGTTACGCTGAAAAAAAAACCTACAATGTTCCTTATCTTAAATTCACTATAGCTGAAGATTGAAATAAATAATGTTAGTCAGTTGGAATCTCTTGGTAGTGTGAAGTCTTTATGATAGATTAAAATAGTTTGTCTTAATTTAATGAACCAAAATATGAAAAAAATGTTTAGCTGATCTTTCTCAAACAAAAATAAGTTCATGATTATATTGCACTTATCACTTTACAACTTCGTGACCTGAACGAATAAAAAAGACTTTAATGCAAATTAAAGTTGTCGTGTTTTTTTTTTCCTGTATGACTTACCCTAATTTCTCCAACAGATTTCTGGATATAGTCGAAATCGAAGTGCTGGTGTTAATCGAAGCATAGGTTTCCACGCCATTACACTGAAAAATACACAAATTCACTATCAATACATACTTTGTTCAAATAATGGAAGAAGTTTTAAATACACAATTGTTTAAATTATAATGTATATATATATATAAATCTTCGCCTACACATAATAAAGAGGAACAGCAGATAAATACAAAACTTCAAAGAAGGTAAAATTCTTAGTGATATACTCTGAAAGGATAATCCCCCTCACTACAACTGTAGTATCATGCTTTCCTCACCAGGCGATAAGCGTACTGCTAACAATTAGTGACGACTTTTAAGTATAAGTAGACGTAAAAATGTCACAGATAATACAAGAACAAAAATCATGCGTGGATGAAAAAATGTGGTTAAATTTCAATTTTTCAAAAAAGTAAAAAAATTTACACTGAATCGTTTATTTATTTCTACAATATATAAAAAAGAGTTTTGTTTTCTAGGACATCAAGAGTTATTCAACTTTTATCTAGATACAAAGCACGAAGATTTAGCACAATAACTACGTTAATCTTTCACGGGGAAATAAGTAAAAGGTTAGAAAGAGAAGTGATCAAGTTATTCACAACTTGTATTTTACCTCGCACTTAACTACAGGAGGAATGTTTAACCGCCCCATTCTGGAGTCGTCCTCGAATATTGGAACCGGCATGGTACTCAAGAAAGATCTTTTACTGAATCCGTTTCGGCCATCATATGCGAAACCCTTAGTTTCTGAGGTACTCGATCGTCTCTGTTGTTCCATTTATGTGAATAGAATGAATGTATATAAATCAGTAAAAAAATATCATGAGCATAAAAAAACGTCAGCAGAAATAATGAGCATTATAGAAAAATATAGTATATTCATCACGTAGTAAAATATGACAAGCACGAAATATGAGCAACAAGACCACACAATGATTCAGCTTTACTTATACATTTAATTCTGCAAGATGATGAATTTCAGTTTTATGTTCCTTATTCTATGTACGAAAAACATCTCAAAAGGACAATTTTATAACAATTTCACTTGTTCCGTGAATATATATGCTTTTAAAAAAAAGCTCCTATATCATTAAGATGGTCTACTCAGCCCGAAAGTATGATAAGGCTAACTGCAGCGCTCCAAGCGACAGGTTGATAGAAAGATTGTTTGTTTGTTTTTGAATTTCGCGCAAAGCTACACGAGGGTTATCTGCGCTAGCCGTCCCTAATTTAGCAGTGTAAGACTAGAGGGAAGGAGTCATCACCACCCAACGCCAACTCTTGGGCTTCTCTTTTACCAACGAATAATGGGATTGACCGTCACATTATAATGCCCCCACGGCTGAAAGGTCGGGCATGTTTGGTGTGACGGGGATTCGAACCTGCGGCCCGCAGATTGTGAGTCGAGCGCCCTAACCACTTGGCCATGCCGGGCCTTGTATTTTATGACCAACAAATATGTTGATATGTTATGTTTGCCTATTTTACAAACTTCAGTAATAACACCCAGTCTAATAGTGATGATGGAGAAACACCTGAAGTGTGTCTTAGTGTATGTTTATTTGCAAAGTTTCAGGTACCTAGATATAACATTCCTTCCTTTATTATGTTAACTTTCCATGATATCATAGGGCTTAATATTACGACACACAAACATTTTAAAATATTTACCATTTATTTGAACTAATGCATACTAAAGTGTGAACAGTACACAAATATAAGATTACTAGCTGATTTACCAATTCAAAGAACGGGGAAGACATATAGGATCCCGGGTGATGGCATATGGAATCATATTCAAACGCTGAGCCCTTATACTACTCCCCAAGGGCCCGTGAGGACACATGCCAGGTTTGATGACAATCGGTCCAGCGATTCATCATATATAAGAGGAAACAACACACGGGAAAAACATAAGGATCACCGGAGGGGGGTGAATATGAAATTCAGATCCGAACGCCGATCCCTATATCACTCCTTGGGGGGCCGTAAGTGGTTTTAAGTCCCTATTTGTATGTTATAAAGTCACAAACAAATCATAAGTGTGCAGCTAAATAGTTGGCTATATAAGTACTCTCAAACCAGCCTTCAAATGGCGCTCTTCAATTTGTTTACAGAGATAGGAAGTGAGCTGTCTAAGCGATATAGGGTACTGGTTCCCAAACTTTGGTCCGTAGAAATATTTCAGTTGAAACTTGCTTGAAATGAAACAAAGCAATATATTCAGCGAGAAGTTTATTTATTGCAGTAAATATGATTATACAACATTGTATATGCTAAGAATGTTTTAAAGAACAAATTGCAATTAAAGTAAAGTATCTCAGAGTAGCTATTGTTTAAAATTAATTTAAATAATTAGGTAGGGTCCTCGACCAGGATGTTTAAAGTCTTGGAGGGGGCCTCAAACTAAAAAGTTGGAGAACCTGCTAATATAGGGTTTTCCTTTTAATACAGGGAAGTGACCTTTGCCAAGAGATGGCGCTATTTACAAGAAGCTAAGTTCTGAAGGTTCTTTCTAAAGATCTATATTAATTGATAATCAATATGTAACAATTTAATTAGTTGTACATAAGCTACAATAATAGCATTTAGAGCTAATTAAATTTCTTGTGTTATGTGATGGATCTCACTTCTTTAAAAAATAAAGGCATGTTCAAATTAACACAAACTTTACTGTTTCCTATGTTTAACATCCTAGAGAAAAACGAATTAGCTTTTCTTCTAAGGGTACAATTTAACTGTAATTAATACTTGTTAATTCGTGGCTGATTGCCTTTTTTATTCTGAATTTAGTAATATTCTTTCATCCAGGTTTGAAAATAATTCTACAATTTTATTTATTTATAATTTATCTTCTTGAAATGTATAACATTCCTAGGGAAGTCCTTAATAAAGAAGAAAAGATTATAGTCTCAAAATAAAATATATAGGTTGAACACATGGGGATGTTATTGTTTCAATGTAAAGGGTAACAGTAACAGCGCTATTGCACCTGATATTTTGTATTATTATCATTTTGTCAAGATGTTAAAACTGACTTATCACCTAAAAATAAGTTAATAATTAAGCCAAATCACTTACCCGCCCGAGAGAAGAGTTATCCGTTTCTATTAGTTGTTCAACTGTGGCTCGATTATGAAGCCTACGTTGTTGGCGCCTTAGAGCAAGTTGGCGAATGTCGGGATCATTTTCAGTCATGGTTTTCGTCGATGTTACTTACAAGCATGATGGAGAACCAGATCTGGCTAACAATATTTAAAAAGGTGGCATATTAAACTCACTCTTAAACACTGTTTTGAGCATTTCAAAGATGGAACCGCGTAATTTTTCCTTACAGCTATTTAACAATACTGTGCTACTATGCATTTAAAAATGACTGACATATTGTTAACACTACACTAATAGTTTAGACTGTTACAAGGTGCATGAACAAATTTAAACATTTAACAATTCTGTGGTGTAAAGTTTTTGAAAATATTGTCATATTAGATTGTTTAAGTTATTAACCTACTTCACTGATCGGCTTAACTTTAAAAATAAATTACATCTAACAGAAATTTCACTTACTTTCTAATCGCGTATCTTTATTTCTTCGCAAGTGACAAAAACATTTTGTAAATGTAAAATGATCTAGGGATGGCAGTGACAAAAAATACAAACAAGAATATAGGGATGATACAGTTATACATAGATCATCCTTACATGACTTTCAATATTAAAATTTAATGTTACACTGTAAAATATCGGAGTACAAAACGGTTACGAGGTCGGTCAATTCGAATGACCTCGTACCGAGAGTCTGTGATTTCAAGACATGTTTTGACTCAGCTTAGTTTTCCTTGTACATAAGTCCTGGGCTCTTAGTTACACTACATTGATGCCTACCCTGACATGACCGTGATATTATGAGAAACAACTGCATACCAACAGTCAGGAATATATAACTTCCAACTATAGTAATATTAAAGTCAATTATACATTTTACAATGTAACATTAAATATTAATATCGAATATCATGTATGGATGATCTATGTATAGCTGTATCATCCCTATGTGCTTGTTTGCATTATTTTTGGCACTGCCATCCCTACATCATTTTACATTTACATGATGTTTTTTATTGCTTGTTTTGTGACGTTTTCCCCCTGACTGAAAGTTAGTGTATTTTATTAATGTGTGTAATAAAATTTAATATTATGTGTATTGATTTATTTACTCCTTCACTTCATACATAATATAAGGGTTGGCTCCCTAAAGACATCGATTGTACAGTGTACAAAGCATTGAGTATTCTACATGTTACAGTAATCTAATTTTCATCTATTATTGGCTGGAAATGCCTGTTTCGCCCCGTACTTAAGCTTTTTGAAGGAACACCAGCTTTTTGTAACGGGGTAATGATAACATCGTTTACACTAGAATAATTATTTTTTTATTACTACAAAGCGATGACATTGTGCACTGCCCAGCAACACATCAAGTGAATTTAGGTTGAAACTAACATTAGGGATAAAGCAATTGTAGAGTTATTCGACTGAAACCAGAAGAATAAAGATGAATAACTTGGTGGGTTGGTATCCTAGCTATGATTTCTTGCCTTGATTTAGTCTTGTTTGGTCGAGAAACAAATGAAAGTGAGTGAAAATCATCTTTTAAAGTAAAACTCTCTGTCATTGTTGATATTTAGCGTGCATATTTGTAGTATGCCTATTGAGTACCTTGGCCATTCGTACTTATAGAGTCTAAAGACTATAATAAAGACATGAGCTCAGTATTCACATCACTGAAATAACTGACTAATTGGTTGAAAATAACAAACTGACTAAATCATGCATTGAATAATAAAGTAGCTCAATCTAAGACCCTCAATAATGTGATCTAATTTAACTTACTTTTTATATATGGCTGAAGTTGTTTCCTAAACTTTGGAGAAAGTTCCAGACATTAACACCACGCCCATATTATAAACGCCTCTGGTTACATGGAACTTCTTTCTGGCTAAACAACAATACAAATTTCTATATTAAAAAGCATAGCCTATAGCAATACTGTGTTGTTTAAGCTCTTTAAACTACCGTATTTTCGGTGTATAAGACACACTTTTTTACCCCAAAATTTGATGTCAAAACCTGCTTGCGTCCTATACACCGAAGGTATGAATAATATATATGTATACATACGCTATACACAAGCCATGTGTAAATATATTTAACTAGGCATGCATAGTTTAGTTCAATTGAATGTGTTATTTATAATAATAGTAGTTTTTTTTCTTTTAAAAACATAACTATTTATAATGCTCCCTAAATAATAAAAAAAAAATTACACTGAAAGCATTGAAGATT